TATTACAACTTTCACTGACACCTGCATGTACAGTTTATACATGAATCTATTGAAAACACCTAAAACCCCCAAACATTTTGGAGAATAGTTCTTACTTTATGCTCCTGAGAAAGTGGTTCAATGTGCATATGTTCCTGAGGGCACTGTTTTAACATAGAAAACTAGTTAAAACCAGATCTATGGAAGGCATAGCATAGCAGCGAGACTATGTCTGAATGAATGAGAAAACAGATGTTCATTGGGGAGGCAGGGAGGGAGGGAAGGAGAGAAGGAAGGAAGGAAGGAAGGAAGGAAGGAAGGATATCTGCTAGCAGATTCACCAGATCTGGAAGACATCACCAGAGAACTCTTAATGGCTTAGGACTTCATTTACTTCTAAGAGGGGCTGCTCAGGACCTTTGTTCAGCAGGAGAGACTGGCCCATTGCAAGCCCTGCCAGGACAGTAGGGTTATGCACAGCTCCTTCATGACACAGAACTACTCCCCAAGGGACTGACAGTCAGAAAGTCAGGCTTTCGTGTCAGAATGCTTCCATAATGTGTCAAATTCAGTACAATGAGCTCATTCTAATGCTTCAGTTAGTCTGAACTAGAAGAAAATGCAGAAACATCAAGCACTAAACTGCAACTGCAAAAAGTACTGCCAAACAAAAGAAAATAGATTTTGGAATCCTTTGGAATGAACGTATGCAAAAAAATTATTAGACCTGTACAGTATACTGATATTCTAATGGCAAAATGAGAGATATGCAAGCAAGAGCTTGAGTGTATTTTGAAATGGCAGTTTGTACAATATAGCTAAAGAAGACTTGGAAAAACATATTAGGAACCCAAAGAGCTAAAAAATACTTTTGAGTAAAGATAAGAGGATTGGAACCCAGAAGCTTATTTCCTGGACATTTAGGTTTCAATTGATAATGGTCTACAGTGAAAAAACAGAAAGACACACAGACAAAAAGTATTGCTAAAGTAGACATAGATTATAAGATATTGTAAGGGGCAAAAAAAGGGAAACAGGAGTCGTAACTCAGAACAAAAGCAGTGATACCCATAAAAATGCTTTCTTTAAAGAAAGTTGAAGAAAAAGGAAGCCAAGAATAAAATCTCCTTCAGATAAAAATTACCTTCACATGAGAAATAAATATACTTTTTTTCTGTACTTGGTTTAGGAAATATGTATTTATGTGATCTCACTTTTGCCGTTCAGTTATATTTTGTAATTAATAATTTCTGAGATTTAGTGCCAACATTGGCTAACTGAATGCATGCTGCTTTGTACACTGTGTATATACAAACTCTTCTGGCCTTGAGACAGCTCCATAGATGTTATGTCAGTTTAACAAAGAGGAAATTTGGTTCTGTTACTATTATTATTTGGGATGCTTTTTATTTGTTATCTTTGAAGTGAGAAAAAACAGAAGACATTCCTCTTATCGTGTATCAAACAGCCTTTAATTTAAGTGTTCATCTAATGCACTGTCTTCATTTAACAGACAGTTATTTTTAACATGAAAATCAGTGGGAAATATTATTTCCCTCTCAAATGCAAGTAGCTGAATCCACTACTGGGGAGAGGAAGGGAGGGGATGAAGGGGGGAGGGAGGGAAGGGGAGGGGGAGAGTGAACAGAAAAATATAGGAAAGGATGAGTAAAACTCTCTCCACCACAGTGAAATATCTGGCAAACTGAACACCTTTCAGATTTACAGGTCTGAACCCACTGTGGTGAACTGGAGTCTTCCTGGAAGATGGATCAATTCCTTTGGTCAAATTCACCCTTTAGTGAAGTGGTTCAGGGCAAACATACCAGAAAATTTGCCCCACTTAAGGAGAAGGGAGGGGAGGATGTAGGGACACTTGGCCCCAGCAGTTACCTCCTCCAAGTGACAAGCAGTGGAGTAGCCTTAAACAGGCTACCATGACTTCTGAAGATGAAGTACAGCTGGACTGATGCCATTTATATTCTTAAATTTCTACTGCATTGCTCAGAGGCACCTTCTGCCCTTTTAATAAGTTGGACCTTGATCTCCTCCATTTTATTCTCTCCATCTTAAATCTGACACCTTTGAGTAACTCTCTTACTCCACCTACAGCCCAAGCAATTTAGGTTAAGATTTCAACTCTAGGAGCACAGTTGTTCCCTCACTCTCACCCATGTATCACACTATAACCTCCATTATAAATTTGTGGCATCTTTTAGACCTGTACATGTCAAAGAGACTCAATTAAAGTAACTTAAAGTGCACACTGTACCATTTTATTAAAGATGTAACTATAAGAAGGCTCTGGGGATACTGTATAGCACCTTCCAGTACCTAAAGGGGTGGAGAGGGACTTTTTGCAAGGGCATGTAGTAATAGGATAAGAGGTAATAGATTTGAACTGACAGAGGGCAGGTTTAGATTAGATGTTAGGAAAAAAATTGTTTACTGTGAGGGTGGTGAGACACTGGAACAGGTTACCCAGAGAAGTTGTGCATGCCCCATCCCTGGAAGTGTTCAAAGTCAGGCTGGATGGGGCTTTGAACAACCTGGTAAAGTGGAAGGTGTCCCTGCCCATGGCAGGGGATTGGAACCGGATGATTTTTAAGGTCCCTTCAAACCCAAACCATTCTATGAAATAGAATAATGCTGGAAACTTGTTGATATATATAAACCATAAACTTGCCACTAAATTAGCTTTTTTATTAAGCACCTTCTCTGCTGACAAGGTGGTCTTGGAATCATAGAATGGTCTGGGTTGAAAGGGACCTTAAATGAATGTACTCCATTATGTATAGCTGCTCACCAAATTATGAAAAGATATCTTGAGAAAAAAGCAATTTGCATTACAAGTCTAAGGCAAGAAACATTATATGGATGGTAGTGAGAATAAAATATGGGGTTCCAAAAGGAATAGAAATAAAGTTACACCATGGTAACAGAGATTGGACAGCAAATATGTATTATTTGAGAACCACTATGTGACAATGTAGTTGAAGATCCTTGTGTGATAACATGCAAAATAACCAACCAAATTAATTTCATGTATGGTCTTCATCTTCCAAAGTTTGATTTTTGTGTGCTCAGCACTCTTTGAATAATACTGTAATGCATGCTGCAGTCTTTTCTTGAAATCTGGGGTATATATCAGTAAAAGCTAATTTCCTAAAGGCAATTTTATACTTACCACATACATTTAAGAGTTTGAAGACAGATTTTTCAGCTGTCCATATGACTTCTTCTGTTTAATTAATGAACTTAAAGGGACTATATTTAGTCACATAGCTTAACGTAACACTGCCCTATCACAGTCTCAGTGCCATTCCTATTAAGATATTCCACCAACGTGGTTGAACTATCTCATTCTTCTATTTTAAGAAGGGAGAAGGCATGCTTATAAAATATTCCAGAGGTTTAAAAAAAAGAAATTAAAAATGTGAAGAGGTCAATTAGTTGCTCATCCCGTACGGTGAGAGGTGCAGGAGGACAGAGAGGGCAGAAGGGCCAAGGGTAGGCGGCAAATGCCTCCCCACCCAGCCAACAGCCCAAGCCCTATGACTCCCGTGTGACTCCCAGAGGCAGGAGGCTGGTGGCCCTCCGTGAGCGGGTAGCTAGCGTACACTCGCATCCCCCGCCGGGCTCCGAGGGCGAAGGCTGCCGCGGACCGCCCTGAGGGGGTCTGTGCTCCTCGGCGGTGAGGGGCCGCCGGCTCCGCCCGGGACGACCGCTCCCGGCCTCGGCCGCTCGCTGTCCGAGTTGGGAACTGCCGGTGGGGCCAGTTCTGCTCCCGAAATACGCGGGTGAGCTGTGTGTGAGGAGCGGCCGCGCTCCGTGTGCAGCCGCGGCTGTGGGGAAAGGGGCAGGGAACAGTGAAAGGCATCGTGAGTTCGCCTAGTGAATTTTACGCCTAAAACACGATTTCTCCAGGTGGCGGAATAAAACGGTGTCTCCTCACCTTCCCCCGAACGCCTCTGAGGCAGCGTGAGTCACGGCACAATCCGAGAGCTGCACCTCGCAACCGCGTTTCACAAAGTTAGGGAGCGCCGGCGGCGCTTCCTACGGGACGGCCGGGACAGCGGCAGGGGGCTCAGCGGGACTCTCCGGGCCGGAGGCTCAGCGCGGCCACGCAGTGTGGCCCGTGGCTCCCGCTCCGTCGGCCGGGTGTGACGGCTGGGCATCGCTGCCAGGGCTGCCCCCCAGTCATCGCTCCGGGGCGGCGGCGGCGGCGGCTTCCCCCGGTCCGAGGATCTCCGCTCGCAGCGAGAAGCCCGGGGGTGGGGGGGGCAGCCCTCCTGTCCGCCCCGTCCGCATCCACCCGCGTCCCGCCACTCCACCCCGTGCCGGCGGGGCAGAGGCAACCCAAACTGCTCCGAGGACACCGGAGATCGACAGTAGAGCCGGCGGCCGGGCCGGGACCTCCTGCTCCAGCGGCCCCGGAGGGGGCTGGCCACACCCCACCCCGCCCCGTTCCCTCGCCGACCCGCTCCCTCGCCGCCGCCGCGCCCATCTCCCCGGGCCAGGCGGCAGAGCCACTGCCTCCCCTCGCCGCCGCAGGGCCGTGCTCCGCACCCTCGGGACAACGCCGAGCCCTCCCCTCCCGGCCGCCGAGCGCCCCCTTCCCCGCCCCTGCGCCAGTGCCGGTGCCGGTGCCGGGCGGGGGGCGGCGGCAGCGAGGGAAGAGGGATGAGGTCATCCTCTTTCCCGGCGTCAGTCAGCTGGGTGGTGGCGGCGGCGGGTGCGGGCGGAGGCGGGCGGGGAGGCGAGTGCGGGATGCGCTGCTCCGGGCAGCGCAGCCCTGCCTGCTCCCAGCTCGAGCGGAGCGCGGCGGCGGCCCCGGCACCGCCGGCCCCCGCGGAGGCGGTGGCGGGGCGGGCGGGCTGAGCGCGGCTCCCCGCAGACAGGCGGCGCTGCGGACGCGGCCGCCGCGGAGGAGCCGCCCGCGGGCGCGCAGCCCGGCGCGGAGCGGGGACAGGGGACGCGGGGAGCGGCGGGTCCGCGGCGGCGGAGGGCGGGAGGCGAAGGAGGAGGAGCAGGAGGAGGCGCGGGATAAAGGAGCGCTCGCTGCTCCCTCTCGCTCTCCGGCGGGGCTGAGGGAGGCATCATGGCCGCGAAGTCGGACGGGCGGCGGAAGATGAAGAAGGGCGGCGAGGTGGCGTTCACGCCGCTGCAGAACTCCGAGCACTCGGGCTCCGTGCAGGCGCTGGCCCCGGGGCTGCCCACCGGCTCCGGGCCGGGCGGCGGCAGCGACGACGACGAGGCGCCCGGGGGCGGGTGCTGCAGCAGCAGCGGCGGCGGCAGGGACGGCTCGGGCGGCGGCTCCCGGTGCTGCTGCTGCTGCGGCGGCGGCAGAGGAGGAGACGGCGGAGGGGGCGGCGGCGGGGGCTCCCGGGGCTCGGGCGGGGGCTCGTCCTCCTTGTGCTTGCGGCTGGGCAGGGAGCAGCGGCGCTACTCGCTGTGGGACTGCCTCTGGATCCTGGCCGCCCTGGCCGTGTACTTCGCGGACGTGGGCACCGACATCTGGCTGGCGGTCGACTACTACCTGCGGGGCCAGCGCTGGTGGTTCGGGCTCACCCTATTCTTCGTGCTGCTGGGCTCCCTCTCTGTGCAGGTCTTCAGCTTCCGCTGGTTCGCGCACGACTTCAGCACCGAAGACAGCGCCGCCGCCGCCGCCGCCGCCGGGCACTGCCCCGCCGCCGAGAGCAAGCTGCTGGTGAGCAGCGGCTCCGCGGCCGCGGACATCGACGCCGCTCGCCCCAGCACGCCGCAGCGACAGGCGTCCACCGCCAGCAAGGGCAACGCCACCAACAGCAGCAGCAACAGCAGCAGCAACGCCGCCGGCAGCGGCGCCGCCGGTCCCCGCGCCAGCGGCGGCCGGTCCGCGTCCTGCGCCTTCTGCATCTGGCTCCTGCAGTCGCTCGTCCACATCCTGCAACTGGGGCAGGTCTGGAGGTGAGGAGCCGGGCGAGGGCGGTGCAGGGGCCGGGGCCTGAGCCCCTCGCCATGGGGGAGCACTCCCGGCCGCGTGCGGGACCGCGCCTGGCGAGCGCCGCCTGCCCCACCTCGTGGTCCCTCTTCGGGACCCGCCGGGCCGTCGGGGGGCTCGGGGTGGCCGGGCCCCCCCAAGGCTGTGAGCGGCCCCGGGCGCGGCGTCTCCCACCCCGCCGAGGGGAGCCCCGCCAGGTCCCTGAGCGCCCTGTGCCGCACGGGCGGCCGCCGCCCGGGGAGGCGCCCGGCTGCCTCCCGCCCGCACAGCGCCGGGTGCCCTGAACCTCCTGGGAAACTTGCACCGGGAGCTCGTAAAATAAAAGAACCGATAGGGGAAAGGGGCCATACCCCCGTAATGCTCGTCTCCTGGTGTCCTCACATGTGACCAGGACACCGTTGCCGCCAGCAGGGAACTTCACTGACAGTGAAGAGTTACTTTCTGGTAACACCCCGATGCTGTTTTATAAAATTTACACATATGCTGCGAGCAGTCATCTCCTTGCTATGCATACCCGTTTTCTATATGTGTAATGTATTAAAGGAATGTCTTCTAAATCAAACTTCTGAGTAGCAGTTCTCAAAACCATCCGCAAGCAACATACACTGCGTTACGGGAAGGATGTGCTGAAGTAGGTTGTGGAAGGCTCTTACTGAGGAAGGAGATGACATCATAGTTTTCAAAAGTAAACTTTTCCTTCAGTTTGAGCAAATTTGCAGGAAAGATTCATATGGAGGCTGAATGCCCTGCAAATACATTTAGTGCTGCCTGAAAAGTGCAGGGTTCAGAAGGCATAGTGTATAAATAGCTAAAACTTTCACATAAAATTTTGGAAGACAGATGCTGTGTTGAAGAAGGTCGTGCAGTAGGGCAAGTGCACTAAAGAAACAGCTGAAAATACCTTTGGGGTTTCTTGTCTGATGGATGAAAAGAAATTCTGTCATCCTTCTGTTTTGGAAACAGGGGTTTTTTTTTCCCCCAATTATTTCATTAGAGAGTTTATTTTGTTGCTACTCCAAAGTTCTAAGGCTGAAGTTTTTAATATCTGTCTCATCCTTTTGAACAGAGACTGGCTTTTGCTCTGTATTAATGCAATATCTGGTTCTGTATTAATGCAGCATCAGTTCTGCTTGTGGCCCTTAAACATCAAGGAGTCCAAGTGCTGCTAGATAATTGACCAAAGACCTTAGGATGCCATAACTGTCTTTCACTTTCCAGAGTATTTGGTTCATTGTGACAAATAGAATTTTCTAAACTTGTGAAACTAACTCAGAGTTACAGTGCTCAATATGAACTTGAGAGGGAAGCAGAAGTTTAAACAAAAAGTGATGCTTTGTTTTGGATCTTGATTGGTCGTATGCTCATTTATGCTGTACCTCCGCAGCTGAACACAAGTTAACACAAGTTAAATTTAGATCTTCGTGAGTGAGATGGTTTTTATGTAGTGTTTAGTCCCCAACCTGCAGAGACAGAAAAGTAGGTATGATGGCTCAAATTGTATGTAGAAATTCACGTTGATACTGACCCATATAGAAGACAAAACTGTGGATCATACTGAATAACAGAGAAGAGAGTTTTACAAGGTCTGGTGTCATGTGGAGAACACAAAGAGGAGGGAGGGCTGTGGGTGGAGCAGGGTGGGATCTGATACTGTGCAGCACTTCTGTCAGATGAGGTGTCTGGGATTTAGAGCTCTCTAGCTGCTTGCTTTTTGATGAAGAACAGTCTTTTTAAAAATCCAATTTTCTCCTTGGAAGAGTACCTAGTCGTCTATATTTAAAGCTAGTTGAGTCTCTTTTGATCATATGTAGCTTTTATTTGTGTTTTATATCAACAATGTAAGACTACCAGAATATTAGACCGATGAGGCAAGTTAGGACATTATTTATGGTTTAGCCTGTGATGCCTTTTTTTCCCCCAGTGAAACAGAGCCATAGAATTTTTTGTCTGTCAGTAACTTTGTAGTATTTATTTGCAGTTTTCCACAAACATACAAATACATATATGGTCGCTTGTATGCAGTGTTGCATATCAGCACTTCATAATTTATTAAAGTGACTTCATTTTAATTCCCTGCATACATTCCTGATAAGGGAGAGCCTTTGGAGATGTCTACAACTAATAATCAGCACCAAAGAGGAGAGGTCACATCAAACCCTGAGAAACTCTGTACATAAGCATGGCGTCAGAACTAACATGATCTGTGGAAATTTTCTGGAAAATAGAGTGTCTATTTGGACACTTAATAGTCCAAAACTTTTTCTCTGCAGTGTAACACTGGCACTGGCTTGAGCAAATAATTCAAGCTATTTAGACTGAAGGAGGATCTGAAATGTTTTCCAGTTGCCAGTGTTTGGAGACTAACTCCTTCTTTGATGCAGCTGAACAGACCGTGCTGGCTGTGTGAGCACCATAAGTGCACATGTGCTGGAGTCACCATCCCCCCAGTTGACAAAACCCGTTACCCTTTGTTCTGTGCCTCTCACTGTGTTTCCTCTTAGCTTTCAGTTTTTCCCTTCTCTTTTTCTTTTGGCCCTGGTTAAAACTCCCCTATGTCTGCATTTAAGTTTTCTGTTACTTATTGCATTGAATTTCCTACAGGCAAAAATGAGAGTAAGATGCCTGTCATTTCTCTGTCAACAAGGAACCCTAGGTATAACAGTTCTTTGGTTTTGTGTAAGGGCAGGGATATCAGGGAATGAGGAGAAAGTTTGCTGGTTCCTGATTCTCAAGATAGTGAAATTGGTGCTCATTCTGTTTTTATGTGGTGTTTGTTGTCTTTTGTCTCCTATTAAAAACGTCCCATTACCAAAGATTTTTAGGGGAACTGTGTCAACTGCTTATTTAAGGAAGCTATCCTGAGGAATGGGGGTTACAATTGACAATACCAACATTCTTAATGTTCTTGCATTAAATTAAAAAAAGAAAAAACACAAACAAACAAAAAACCCCAACAAACTTGTAAAAATGAGGTTTTACTAATTAGTTCTGTCAGGATGACTTTTAACAATTTCAAAGCTTTTCCTTTGAGATTAATTTTTTGTTTACAAATATACTGAAAGCCAGATCATTTAAAATGATTATGTGTTAATTTTAACTAGAATGTGCTAATGGGAAATGAATGAGCTCTTTAATGTGGCATGGAACAATGCTGGAAATAGGCACTCTAAAATTACTAAAACAGTTTTTATTCCTAGAGTGTAAAGAAGGGGAGCTCCAGGAGCAGCTAAGCTGCCAGTCAGTTCTGAATAAAAATGTGATTTTTTTCTTTTGAAATCAGTATAGTTTTTTTCTTTTCCCCACAAACTTTAGAATATTGAATTCCTCCTTTCTGAAGGATAAACATATAATTTACTTTTTTTCTGGGGGTCGGATGTTCACAGGCTTCCTGATAACACTGTCCTGTTAAAATACCAACGAAGTCTCTGAGGACCTGCTTGCCACAGCAAAGTGCAGCTACTAGGCCTTTGTTGGCAGCTAATTGCATGTTAAAATATGATCATTGATGAGATTTTGTCGTCAAAGATAGATACAGACACATTTCTTTACCGATAATTCTGCTTTTAACCAATATATGGGCATGGAAACCACACTATGGAGCCCTATTTTCCCAAGTATGTGCTGTGAGAGACCTGGCTGATTGTTAGTAGACTCTGGGGAGTACAAGAAGATGTAATGCATGGGTTCTTCGTATTCCGTTGGAAAGAAAAAATGAAAGCAGGTGCTTTAATTTATAGTCTATAAGGACTACGTAGAGGAATATGGGCCAGTAAAATTCAGATAAACTATTGCCCTTTGAACTGGCATGAGAGTATCTAACCACTACCCTTGAGCATCCCTTTGATTCACTAAGCTTCCCAGGCTTAGCCATGGCTTTCAGATTTTGCAATGGATAGCAGGACTTGGTGACTGGATGTAAGAGATAGTAGCATTCACTTGGTGTCTGTGAAGCTGGTTCATTTCCTTAAAAAAATTTTCTCTTACTGAGGTTTCTTTGGGCTGGCAGGATCGGATAGCAATGCTCCTGAAGCTGGGAAAGGATGTCCTGAGACCCAGTTCTGGGGGGAGTGTGGATTGTAGGAAATTGGGTGGGTGAGAGGAGGAGACTGGAGGACTGCTGGCGCCCAGCTTGTGATGTCTGGAAAGCAAGAAGTAGCTCCCTGAGACAATTATTGTACCTTGAAGCTGGGTGGTGTGAGCAGTCTGCCTTGGTTCTTGGAGGTTCCCACAGTGTCTGTCATTTGTCTGAAAGGCTGCAGTTAAAGTCCCTGAAAGGGAACTGTCAAGTTTCTGTAGCCAACAATGCCAGAGGAAAGGTGAATCATTGGAAAGAGGAGGACTGGAAATTACCCTTTAAAATTATTTCTGGATAGCTGAAATAATACTGAGATGATTAAGTACATCCCTCTCAACAGAGTGAGGGGTTTTGAGATTTCCTAGCTGTGTGGGAATCCACCTGAAGAAGGAGGAGACACCAAGTTAATTGCATGGCCTTCCAGGTGGTATTTTCCAAGACAAGTGTCTGTTCCAAAGTGGGTCTAGTGTCCTGACAAGTGATGCTATAGTTTAGTGATGCTATGCTATATCTGTTTATGTGTATTAATAAGAAACCATTATCTTGCTTCTCCTTCCTGGTTCTTATTTGGAAAAAAAAATCCTTGGAGCAAGGTTGTAGAGGTGATAATGGATTCTGAGACCAGGGTGAGTTGCAATTTCTCTGCTGCCCTGCGGAAGCATTTTTCACAGGTCTAGGTCATCTGCCAAAGAAATTTCATTGCCTGTGCTCATGAGCTTCACCTCTTCAACAACTTTATGCTCTTAGAATTAGGAAAAAAAAAAAAAGGAATATGGTACCTGCCTTGTATACTGTCCTGTATATGAGAAATCCTTACAACTTCCTCAGGTGCTCACTATTAAGCATGACCGGACCCCTAAGATGGAACTGGGAGCAAGGTAGTTCAAATTA